GAATAGGAAGAAATAGAAGAAGAGGTAGAAGAAGAAGAAGAAGTAGAAGAAGAAGCAGAAGAAGAAGAAGATGAAGAAGAAGAACAAGAAGTAGAAGAAGAAGAATAAAAAGAACTAGAAGAAGAATAAGAAGAATAGGGAGAAAAAGAAGAAGAGGTAGAAGAAGATGAAGAAGAAAGAGAAGAAGAAGAAGAAGAAGAAGTAGAAAAAGAAGAAAAAGAAGAAGAAGTAGATGAAAAAGAAGAAGAAGAAGAAGAAGAAGAAGAAGAATAAGAAGAAGAGGAATAGGAAGAAATAGAAGAAGAGGTAGAAGAAGAAGAAGACGAATAGGAAGATATAGAAGAAGAGTAAGAAGAAGATGAAGAAGAAGTAGAAGAAGAAGAAGAAGAAGAATAAGAAGAAGAAGAAGAAAAACAAGAATAATAAGATGTAGAAGATGAAGAAGAAGAATAATAATAATAAGAAGAAGAAGTAGAGGAAGAAATAGAAGAAGAGGTAGAAGAAGAAGAAGAAGAAGACGAAGAAGAAGAAGAAGAAGAAGAAGAAAAAGAAGAAGAAGAAGAAAGAGAAGAAGAATAAGAAGAAGAAGAAGAAAAGGGAGAAATAGAAGAAGAGGTAGAAGCAGAAGAAGAAAAAGAAGAAGAAGACGAAGAAGAAAATGATGTTAATGAATAAGAAGAAGAAGAATAGGAAGAAATAGAAGAAGAGGTAAGAAGAAGAAGAAGAAGAAGAAGAAGAAGAAGAAGGAGAAGAAGAAGAAGAAGAAGAAGAAGAAGAAGAAGAAGAAGAAGAAGAAGGAGAAGAAGAAGAAGAAAAAGAAAAAAAGAAGAAGAGGAAGAAAGAAGAAGAAGAAGAAGAAGAAGAAGAAGGAGAAGAAGAAGAAGAAGAAGAGGTAGAAGAAGAAGAAGATGAATAGGAAGAAATAGACGAAGAGGTAGAAGAAAAAGAAGAAGAAGAAGTAGAAGAAGAAGAAGAAGATGAAGTAGAAGAAGTAGAAGAAGTAGAAGAAGAAGAAGAAGAGGTATAAGAAGAAGAAGAAGTAGAAGAAGACGAAGAAGAATA